GAAACAAAGTCCTGCACTGCTGCACCTGGAAGCCAAGCCACACAACCAGCCCTACTGCTTCCTCCTCACTGCTTAACTACTGAACCCCTACACCTGAGCCACATCTTGTTCCAGGCACAGCCTCTGCTTAGGTGCAGCCCATTACCTCCTGCTGGCTCCTTCTGATCCCAAGGGAAAGCAGCCAGCACCACCAGTCTGACAGCCAGCACACCCCTGGGGACACAAGCTGGCTGCTCGCCTGCCACTGCTCTGTGGGGCAGGCGAAGAACTCAAGGCCAGGTCTGCCAAAATTTCAGGTTTTCATTAGGGACACTGCATGTATTCCCAATTTTCCTACAAGGCAGCCCTGGTCTGACAAGCTATGTAAGAGATAGGGATTGGAGGTCCCTGTAAGATCAGCAGGCTAGCCCCGAGGTCTTCTCATCCTCCATCCAAGCAAGTTACCGATATTGAGTTTGCACCTCATAAACACACTCTGAGAAGCTGGAACAAGCACAGGTCTTCTGCTGCAGCCACGCTCACAGGCAATATGTTCACTTTCCACTCCAAAGAGAGCTGTGATTTGAAAACAGCAGCAGTGCCAGCTCCAGCACAGCCTCGGCACGGCACCCACAGCCCAGCAGCAAACCACCCCCTCCACCAGTGCAGTCTGTCTCCCTCCTTCATCTGCTCCTTGCCTGGGCTGATGGCTTTGGGACTCCAGACCCTGCTCTCCCCCTCCAGTACAGCACACAGCCTCCTTTGCTGCCAATGACATCTGCTGAATTACAAAAGCCTTTCCTCAAGATCTGCATTATTTTTTACACAACTATCTCCTGCACAATGTGGTGGTGTTGATTTTTTTTTACTTGAACTTTTCTCCGCTTGAGTTACATTACCATTTTGTTCTGATCGTAATTTGGTTGAATGAAACATAAAGTTGAAGGATATCAGATTTGAGGCAAGAGGGGAAACGGAGCAAGACGGCAGATGCGGCGTGCCCTCGTCTTGCTTTATTTCCATCCAGCCCAAACGACACCCTGGTCTCATTAGCACTTAATGCAGGTGAAAATAAAGGGGTTTAATATTAAAACAGTGCGTGTACATGAAAAACCACCACTCCAGACCTGCTGGAACTTGCCGCGTATCAGCACTAAGCTCTTTCTCTGCATGGAGAACTCTTACACTCACTAGACTATAACTTCTTATTGGGGCTAATAACATTCAATACGAAACCTCTCAAATCCCATTGAAAACTTAAGCACTCAGCACTTAGGACATTTCCCTACTCCATTAAAAGTGTAACAGCTTAAAGAACACCATCCCACTGAAGAAACTGCTATCACGAAATGGGTCAGCTGGTTACAGCAGCAGCAGTCTTGAGGTTAGAATTCAAGGAGCTACCGCTGCTCAGCTCCCTAAGGAAGGGCTCTGCTGTCCCACCACCTGCAAAGCAAGGAGGGGATGAGCAAGGGAATGGTGAGCAGCTTCTGCAGGCCAAGAGCACAGCTTGTGCAGCAGCAGCAGCACGCACAGCTGGACGCCTCATCCAAGCAGATGGAGATGGCAGCCCCCAGCTAAACCAGGCTGCGAGGCTCCGTGTCAGTGCTTTAATGTTCCAAGGGACAAGCTGTAATGCAGGAACAATGGGTCTGGTCGTGTTCCCAATGAGACAAATTCCACCCCACGGTCAAGATGTGGCAGCAGTCACCCGGCACGCGCTGACACGGAAACTCAGCCTATTGGTGAGGCATTGCCTGTGCAACCACAGCACCCCAGGAACACAGCCCAAGAGCTGCACGCTGCAGGCACTTGACACATCGCTCATTTCCTCCCAAATTTGTTGAAATTCAAGCCAACCCATCTTCCTAAATGAAACACTAACCAGCAGTGCTGCATCAGGCTAGATGATAGCTTTTAATTACGTGCACCAAGGAGTGTGTGGCACTTTGGCTCTGCTGCAAGGGCTGCTCTCTGAGAAATGCAACTTTGATCAGAGCTCCAGGACTCTTCCACAGACCGCAGAAAGCCAATGCAGTGACCTTATGGAGGTACTGCTTCATTTGTCTCCGGATTTTTACGTGCCAGGCTCTATCCAGAACGCATTTCATTGGCGGCGTTACCTTTGTTATTCACGTGCCACTTCAGCTCACACAGGCAGAGACTGGGAGGCGGAGCACACAGCAAACACACGTACACAAAATGGCCATTTTTCCTCCAAACGTCCACTTCCAAATGACTTTTGTGCTCCAGTAAAAATTTATATGTATACATATCTATATATACACATGCACACAAAACATATACAAACATATGCACACACACAGATCTACACCTGACAGCTGTGAAGGTCTTACAAACAGCCTCAGCCTTTCAGATCAGCCCATGCACGAGGTCACCCCCCCCCAGGACGGGCAGCAAGCAGGTCCTGGTGCTGTGCAATGACACCCCGAGCTCCTCGGATGCTGGCTCACACCTCGTAGCTCAGAAACAACCCCCAGAATGCACGTGCCCAGGTGCTGTGCTCCTCTCTTCACTGATGACGGAGCTCCCAGCACACAACACCGGTCAGATCCCACACTGCCCATCAGCTCCCAGAGGCACTAAGCAGCTCATTTACGGATCTCCTGCCTCCAGCTGCTATCCTCATCTTCAGCGGACAAGTTCCCTCTGCTAGCTTCTGTCTGCTCTGAATACATCGACAGAACCCTTTGATGTCAAAATATTCTCAGCAATTAGATCTTCTCTATTTCTTTTTGCCTCCCTAATTATCCTTTTAACTGCCTTCTGCTTATTTTAATAGATCTTCCTATCCTCCTCCTTTGCAGACTGTTTATACTCTTTAAAAGCCTACTGCTTACTGCTTCTAATACTGTTTACATCTCCATTTAGCCACCTCAGCTCACTCACTGCTTTTTGCCTGATTTCGGAGTTAACCAGGGGAAATTTCCTCTCTGATCTCTACAACAGTTTGCAAATACCTCCTGTTTCTTTCTCCAACACACCTCCCTCTCATCTGCATGAAGGAGCAAAGCCTCCTCCAGACCACGAGGAAAAATCCATACTGAGATACAGCGCTGCACGCACACTTCGCTCTGCGCTATGCCCACCATTCCCGTATCAGCAATATTAAGCAGATTATTAATGACTGTGTCCCACGTGCTCCCTAACTAACTTATTCATTATCATTTCCTGCCTGAAAAGGTAAACAAACAGAATCATAGAATCACAGCCTTTTGTGCTCAGTTACAGGTTATCTATTGCTTTCATTAGTTATATCTCTACCAAGTGCAAGAAAATAGTTGCCTGCACTTTGGTTTCATACGTCAGCTCATGCTTCCAGCATCTGAAGTGACCTCACAAGCAGGAGGGGAACCAACTTTTTACATGATCTGATAGTGACAGGACAAAGCAGAATGGCTTCAAACTAACAGAGGGGAGATTCAGGTTAGATGTGAGGGGAAAATCCTTTCTGCAGAGGGCAGTGAGGCTCCCATCCCTGGAGGCACTCAAGGCCAGGGGCAAACTGAGCTGGTGTGGGCAACCCTGCCCGTGGGTTGACTGGCTTGATGGGTGCTGGGTGACCTTCGAGGACCCCTCCAACCAAAGCCATTCTGTGAGCCTATGGCTCTATGCTGGGAGGAGCACAGTGGATTCACCCCAAGGGTTTGGAAGAAAGGGTAACATTGGGTCCACCTAAGAAACTGCAAATTCACGTTGCATTTCACTAACAATTCCTGTGGGGAAAAACAGGTCAGGGCTGTGGTGTGATGATGAACATTCATCTTTGGTTCGGCAGACTGAGGAGCACAGCACGGTTTGGAGAACAGGAGCTCTTCCAAGCACCACACTGGATGCAGGGAACAGTAAGTGAGTTTCTCTCGCTAATGACAGAGGTTCAGACAGGCTCTGGCTCGGGAAGTCCCCACACCATTATCCGACAGGAGCGAGTATATTAAAGGCTCACTCAATATTTTCTCTGTTCGTTATAATCCTTCCCTGGCCATCTGCTGCTGGACACTGGGAAACAGGATACCAAAAGAGAGGGACAGAGAGCGAGATCTTTTGTTTAAACCACAGAATAGCCATTCTTTATAACATAACAGCAATTCTCCCTTCTAACCACTCAGCTCTGCCAGAAAACACTGAAACACGTATTCCATGGATGCAGAGAATAAGTGAAGACATCGAGATCTGCAGCGTCCACACTTTCCCTTGGTAGTCTGCTCTAACGGCCAATCTCCCCTGCTGCTCCAAATTTTCACCTCCAGCTCGTAAAAATATTTTTGTTTCTTCATTTTGTCATCTGAACATTTGGATTCAGCTTCCAGGTATTGTTCCTTGCTTTGTGTCTGCTAAAATGAACAGCTATTTGGTGCCTGCTTTTTGTTTTTTTTTCCCCACAGAGAACCAGCTCTATGAATACAGAATCAACAAGTGAGATTTTTGTTCACTCTTATTGTCAGTTTCCCAAAATACGGTACATGCCCCAAAATGCTTCAGAACAAACACCAATGACTATTTCCCCAACTCGCTGGATTGCTTCACTCCAACCACACAGTCTGCGTCTTCTCCAACTTTTCAACATCTCTTAAAAATTGGAAATAGAGATATTGTATTAAGGCATAAGCAATAAGAAAAGAGAGAGTCGTGGTTTTCACAAAGCTCTGCACACCCACAGTTTGCACTGCCCCATTCCCAGGGGCTCAGTGTCGCTGCTTCTGTTGCAGCCACGTCCCTTTCCTACTCCAAGGCTGCTCTGGGATCTCTGCTCTATCCTGTCTCCACCTCTACAGGATCCTACAGGATCTCATAAAATGGTTAGGCTTGGAAGGAACCTGTAAGATCATCTAGTCCAAACTCTCTGCTATAGGCAGGAACACCCCCCTCTAGACCAGGTTGCTCACAGCCCCATCCAGCCTGGCCTTGAATGCCTCCATAGAGGGGGTATCCACAGCCTCTCTAGGCAATCGCCTCCAAAGACACAAATCCTAGGATTCTCCAAACCCAACAAAGCTTACCTGATGGAACCTCAGGAGCCCGCAGGCCCCTTAGGACAGCTGGTGACCAACATGTCCCCACTGAGCCTCCAGGGTACCCCTGAGCCTTTTGGCTCCTGTCCCACCCAAGTGTGATGTTACAAGGGGCTGCTGGAGCCAAATGCTGTGACATCACAGTGCTTCCCCATGCACTCAGCACGGCCTCCATCACTGCTGCTACAGATGAGTTCAGTTTGTTCGACACTGCCATCGCTTCCTTCCCAGCACTCTGTGCTCACCATGCTCTGCTGTCCCCGGGCTGACACCATGCTAAGACAGGGCGGCAGCAGCATCTGCCAGCTTTTCTGGAATGGTCTCAAGGTACCCAAAAGTGGATACAAAAATTAATCAAATAAAAAAGGAAGCAAAACAGCCACCTCCCTTTCCCCCCCCCCAGGAGTGCCCTGAGTACAACATCCATCCATACCGGCTGGAAAAGCTCCTCCAGCTCCCAGCTCAGCACCCCCTGCTTAGCAGCAGACCCTTCTGCACACACACTACGAGTACATCCCACCTCTTCTTTACAAATAGGGAACAGCAATATTTATTAAACATGTCTAGTTTTTCTGCTTTATTATGCGTTTTAGCTCTCCTCAGTCGTGATAAGTCTACACAAACCATTATTAGAATTTCTTTTGTTCCTGATATATTTTCTTTCAGTTCTTTGCAGTGACAGTCGCAGATTTTTTTCCCTTGTGTTTTTTTAACTTCCTTTATCAATTTTCTGCACTTGATAACTTCAAACTCAAGGATAACTGTCATCCCTTCCTTTTATTCTTCTTTTTTTTCCTCCTCGTTTTACTACTTACCAGGCTCTGGCATGGGGGGGTAGAAGGATAGGGGAATGCAGGATTCAGTTACAGAGCAATCTCAACACCAGAACTGACCACAGATCCTGAAAATGAAATAACCCATTTGGGGAAAAGTAAAAGCCAGGACCAACATGGCACCCCTGAAATCCTGAGGCCTCTCCAGAGGGTGCAGGCAGGGGATGAGGGTCCCAAGATTCATGCCAAGGGAGATGGAGCCCCTGCGAGAGAGCTGGACTCCAACAAAGCCAAAATGAAAACAGATGCCAGCATAGAAAGGACTATTTAAACTATAGCCTGAGAAAATCAACAGGCACAGGAGAACGCCCAGTTTAAGTAAAGCATTTTCTATTGATGAGGTCATGAGCGTACTGCATCCTTGAAAAACTTTATAGATATTTATAAGACTCAGGTAGGAAACAGAAGACAAAATGCACTGCAGTCCGTATTCCATTTACACAGCAGTGATGGAGCTGACTGCAGAGTGAAGCCCAGTGGGGTCCACCACAACCAAGGGCTGCAGAGCACCCTTACAGCCCAGAGCGCATCCCAAACCTTGCTACAGCTCCAGCACTGGTGAGCAGGGGATGGCATTTGCATTTAGGCAATGTCACAGAAGACCAGAAAGGCTGTGGGTTGCTCCTGCAGTTCTATCTGCTGATGTTCTTAAGAGATCTGACTGCTGCAAGCGCAACGCTCTGGATGCTCCATCTCACCTCCCTGCACGATGTCTTCAGGAAATGCAAACGTTCTTGAGTCCCACAAGGCCACCCGTGGCACGAGCAGGAGGAAGCCATGTGTTGGAGGTCCTCCCTCCACCACTGAACCCTGCTACTCCCCACCTCCAGCAGCCAGGAGGGCCCAGCTCTGCTGCAGTGCCCCAGCACCTCAAACCAAACTCTTCCCAACACAAAAGCCACGCAACAAAGTACGTTCAGCTAAGATTTAACTAAGGAAGAGGAAACTTAAGTGGGAGAATTTGTTAAAAGGTCACTGGTGCAGGTCAAAAGGTGAGAGGCAGCAGGTGAGGTGGAGGACTTGAAGACAGTTTTCACCTGTCAAAGTTTGGTTAAAACTGCAGAATAAAAAGAGCCATTAAAAACAGAAAAAACACACTCATGGAAGAATGTAAGCTCACTGAAGCTAAATTTAAAGCCGGCAGAGACCAATGAAAAAAAGATTTTTAAGAAAGAGGTCATTAAAGGAATAAAAATTAATTTTAATAGTAACAAAATCAAGCACATAAGCATCACAAGTCAGATTCTGGTATAAATCAAGCACCGAAGGAAGGTAAAACCATAGCCTGAAAATTTAACTTCTATGCACCAGTGAAAAGGCTCAGGAATTCCCTTTCTGGATTCTTTCCATTATCAGGAATGACAAAGGGATCCACCTCACACTACAGGGTCACCAGAAGAAGTAAACCTTCCTAACAAAATTAAAGAACAGGGCAAGACAGTATCCATTCAAAAGCCTTAAAGACATGAAGCTACAACTGCTTAGCTACCACAACTCACTTGTATCAGGCTGCCCAAGGAGGCTGTGATGCCCCATCCCTGCAGGCATTCAGGGCCAGGCTGGATGTGGCTCTGGGCAGCCTGGGCTGCTGGTTGGTGACCTGCACACAGCAGGGGGTTGGAACTGGGTGAGCACTGTGGTCCTTTTCAACCCAGGCCAATCTATGATGCTATGATTAAGGTTTTAGAAGGGTTACAGGAGAGATCCAAAGAATACAACTGCAGAACTTGGGTTCTGTAGCTGAAAAGTTACTACTAACAGAATATCTGACAAACAGGACACAACAGGAGTGAGCACAGCTTTGCAGACAGCCACAGTTCACAGAACTACTAGAGTGGCTGGAAAGGATGCAAGTAGAAGCAAGTAGAAAAGAATGAGTGAGAGATGCAGTCTACACAAATTTCCAAGTCTTAGCCAAGTTTCCTCTAGAAACAGCAGGTGCACCCACAGTGCTGTGAGAAAAGAAAGAAATCGTCCCATTGATTAACGACTGATTAAAAGACAATAAAGGGCAGGAATAGTCTGATACTGTAAGTGGGACCAGGCAGACACCTGCTCAGTGCACCAAGTGAGACGTGGAGAAAGGGATGAGGAGTCCCCAAGGCTATGGACAAGATGCTCCTGAGGCCAATCCAAGCAGCAGAATGACCACATGATGCAGGAAAGTGGGTGGCAAAAGAGAGGATGAAATTCTGCATGGATGCATGCAAAGTAATACATACAGAGAAAAGCAACTCCAATCACACACACAAAATAAAGGCATCTAAATTAGCCATTAGCATTCACAAAAGCAACTGAGGAGTCACTGAGGGCACTCCTCCAGCAGTGTGAGCCTGATGGTGGCCAGCACAGCAAATGAAACAATTAATTAGCAAAGGAACAGAAAAGGCACCAACACACACTGCCAAATCCACAGCACCATAAAGAGTTCTGGTGATCCTGCCTCAAAAACGACTGCAGAAAGAGAACTGGAAGAGCAAATCCTTTTTGTGCTCCTCTTCACTGAAATAAATGGCAGCCACAGTGAGCGCACAACTCATCTCAGTGCTCAGTAATGCCAGGCTACTGAAAACCCCCCTTAAAGATGGCCTGCAGCACTGCTGAGGCTTGAGGAGCATCCAGGGTTGGTGCAGTGCTGTGAAACAGAGGTGAGAAGGAAACCACTGTGTGCTGTACCTGCTGGAGTAGAAAATGAAGTTAATATTAATAAGACATCTGTCCCACAACAAACACAGGTGTAAGGCAGGTCCTGCCCTGCAGAACTCACTGCCAAGGCTGTAGGCTCACAAGAAAACCTGGAAGACAGTGCTGCAAACTCCTTTCTAACTTACAAAGTTGCTTGCCACTCAACCAACGCAGACCAAACCCTGACAACCACATGTAAGAAGGTTTCACCCTATGGCAGAGGGCATAAAAACACCCAGGGGGAGTGAGAGAATCCACCCACCTAGCACCAACCTGAGACAGCATGGGGAGCAGAAAGCTCCTGCAAAGACACGTCTGCAGATGTGCTTGGAGCAAACTTTCCACAAGGCCCCGAAACACAGCCAGTGCAAGGCAGCAGGGCAGAAAGTTAAAGGAAAAATGCAGGAGGATGAATTTGCAGAGTTGTCCAAGAGGGGAAAAATGGTTATGATCCAACATCTCACCTTCTTTGTGAAAATTATTAATAGTCCTTGCACAGAAATTCGTAATGGAGCCTGTGTGTTTGCTGGGTGTGCAGCCCCACAGCCTCCATCCAAAGAAGATGCTCTTTGAGTCAGTTCTGCTCCATTTTGGGTCAAGTTTAAAAACCCTACACCTTCCCCAAAAAGAAAGAACAGCCCCAGCGAGTTTATGGCTCGCTGTTATGACTACGTGGAAAACCTAACAAAAATAACTGGACAAAAAGTTTAGAAGTTATGATGACCTAAAAAAAAAAAAAAAAAAAAAAAAAAGAAGTTTCTGCAATTTGCTTTTGAAAAAAAAATTCCTATGGCTTTTTTTGGTTTGTGGGATCATTAAAATAGCTAAGCTGGGAACGTCATTCCCTTCGTGGGTTCTGCTAGGAAGGAGTGCCTTTGGGTAACAGTGGGGATGTTTATAGGGGAAGAAAGGCTTTTTGTTAATAAATTCATTCAACTATTGAGATGCAAAATACACCAAATGGTTATTTATATAACAAACTATTATAACACGATCAAACCTAAATTAATAAAAGAGAAAAAAACACTTTGGCAGAAAAGAAACTAAAATCTATTATTTCTGGTGCCAGAACCATTCTGTATGAAAGCATGTACTAATGGAATATATTCCTTTTATTTACTGCACAAGGGCCCTCTTGCCATAGAGGGAGTTAAGGTGGAAGGACTGTATGTTTTGGAAACAATGCTGGCCTAACACTTGAAAATTACATAAATTCAGAGGAGACAGATAACTTTTTTTTTCTATTTTTGGGTGGGAGGAAGGAAGAGGCTTGAAAAATGTAAATATTGTAGTGCCATTTTTCCTCCAGATTGATGTTTTCCCCATGATAATATTCTGTTAGCAAAATTAAATCCTCTGTCCTGCAGAGTCAAAGGGATAGGCTGAAGCAGAGGACTGAGGTACCATTTTAATGACTTCAGTCAAAATACTTGTGGGGAAATTGAACCACGAGCATAAATCCCTGCAGGACGAGCCCTTGTGTGAATTCCTAAGCAGAATAAAATTTGAAGCATTGGAAGAAAAAGGAAAAAAAAAAAAGAAAAAAAAGAAAAAAAAAAAAAAAAGCACATCCTATGAGGAAAAGTCAAGATACAAATGGAAAATTCCTTCCTGGCTCCATGGATGCTAATTGCATATCTTCTGCTAGGAGCCGAGGATCATAGATTTCTACATATATATTTAATTAGGTTAATTTGTAAAACGTAGACATATGTCTGCTTAAGGTAGACAGGAACATTTCATTTTATACATTTTAAATATCACCTAATGAACTGCAACACAAGCACTGTTTATGCTGGAATAGGAAGGCCAGAGAGTTCTTTGTAAGAGAGGAAAGCACAAACATACACGAATTAGACAAACATTCACAATGTCTGACTGCTATCTACACAACATTATCACAAATCAAAAGCAATGGCCCATTCTCAGTAAATTTACTTTTTAGCAAATAAACCAATTAAGACGTTAAAAAAAAAAAAAAAGCATTTAAATACATGCAAGGTTTCAGGAAGAGGGGCTCTTGTGTTTGTCAATTTGGAGATGTTTTTTCTCATCTACAAATGGCCAGAACACGTCCACTGAGCGTAGGATGCTCCAAGGACTCATTCCTACATCCCTCCAATATCCATAACCCATTTCTAGAAGCAGGAATTGCATCACCACCCTCAGACCACACATTACAATCCCAACCCCACCAACTTGCTCCAGACACACTCTGCCTCCTGACCCCAGGAACGGTGGGTCCCCCTCCAGGGCCATCTCTGTGGCAATACCCCACCAAGCACGACTCAGGAGAAATGCTAATTCTAACTGCTGTTATCACCACCCAGCCAAGTTTGTAGATCTTTAAAATAAAGACAGATAAGAAGGTAAAAATATCCCTCCCTCAGCTCAGTATGCAGTATGCCTTGGTGGCATTAACCATCAACAGAAAACCGAAGCCACACACCATGAAACAGTCCAAACATAATAAAAAAAAGATTAAAAAAAACATTAATTCCGCATCAATCCCACCAGCTCATGTTCATCCCCACAGCATAAGGGCCACTTATCACTGGTCTTCACCCATTCCAGATGTCACTGCTAGCACTGCAGTCCCCAGGATGCACTCGAGCATCCTGAGATCCCAGCATGGGCTCCTGCTGATGGCATCACCGGAGTCCTGTTGCACCCACACACGAAGTCCTGTTGGAACACGTCCAAAGGAGGGATACAACAATGATCCCAGGGATAGAACACCTCCCTGCAAGGACAGGCTGTGAGCTGGGGCTGTGCAGCCTGGAGAAGAGAAGGCTGTGGGGAGAGCTGAGGGCAGCCTATCAGTATCTACAGGGCTGTGAGAAGGGAGGGGACAGACTCCTTAGCTGTGTCTGCTGTGATGCATAAGGGGAAATGGTTTCCAGTTAAAAGAGGGGAGATTTTGACCAGACGTAAGGAAGAAGTTTTTTTTACGCTCAGGGCAGTGAGGCACGGCACAGGTTGCACAGAGGTGGTGATGCCCCATCCCTGCAGACAGCCAAGCTCAGGCTGTTGGAGCTCTGAGCACTGCTGGAGCTGTGGGTGTCCCTGTGCACTGCAGGGGTGGGACCAGACTGCCTTTAAGGGTTCCTTCCAACTCAAATGATTCCATGGTTCCCAACGGGGCTTCCAGTTTTCCTCCACCATGTGCCATGATCCAAACCCCGTGCCTCTCCACACGGGTTTCAAAAACACATATGGAAATCTGAGAAGGTATTTCTCTCTATCCTTACAACTCCTCCTTCTCATCCTCAAAACAATGAGTTACCAGGAATGCTGGTAAAAGCTGAAAATTTGCAGCTCCCAGACTGAAGACCTCGAGTGACAGCTTCACACCCCAACACCTGCAGCCACCCCTGGGTTTCGAGCTACATACGGCTCTACCAAGGCAGCTCGTGCACAATGGGTCATCTCAGCTCTGGTCCCAAAGCACACCCAGCGGTCTAAATACAAAGAATCATAGTTAAAATAGTAACAACAACAACGACAAACCATCAAAACAGCCACCCCTGGGATCTGCTTTGGAGCTCTCCCCATGGCCGCCCCGCTCTGTGCTCCCCGCAGCCTCCCGCACCACAGCACTGCCAGCTCTGGCCGCAGAGTTTTGAGCACTGAGGTTTAATACTTCCATAAATAGGCCTAGAGCAATGCAACGCTTATACTAAAATCGTTCTCCCCACGCTGTAAGCAGAACCTAAATGACGGGCCTTCAACGCAAGCACACCCAAGTTGTGCTGAAAACTTTGCTTCTGCTGTTATTTTCAGACAGGGAAGGACACCTACACCCACACGGAGAGAAAAAATTAACTTTCGAAATATTACTCGCAGCCTGAACATACCCAGCAAAACAGAACTGCA